GTTGGATGACCCCGCACATCTTTCGAGTCATCCTGCGACGTTTCGTCTGCACGCCGCTGGCAGTTGCGCGGTTGGAGCTCATGGGCCCCCGAACGAAGCCTCCGCCCAAAGAGGAGGATTAGTTGTTCGTTGACAGTCAGGTTAAGCATGTCCGAGCGATTTTCGGTTGCAAGGCTTGTACCGTTCAGCGGTTTAGACCCGCGCCAGTTGCTCGCGGCGACTTGGCCGGCTGTGGCGTTGCGCCACGCGGCGTGGCGCCACGCTTGCGAATAACATTCGCGGGGCAATTTTCGCAAGGCGCAAGTTGTCAACAGTTCGAAGACATTTTTTGGGGTGCAGCCCATGCGTTCATGTAGCCTTTCTTCGCGAATGACATTGCATGTGGGGAACCAATCCAACGAAACATTCGGTCCAGAGTTTCTGCGGCCCTTTAGAACAATGCCCAAAGCCAGACCCAGGCGATGCTATGGGCGATTTTGTTCGGCACGCTTAGTTTTGCGCGCCGGAGCGAGCCTGCCATCCCCGCGACGATGAACTCTGCGAATCGATGCATCTTTACAGGTTTGCTATCGGGACGAAAGATGTCCATGACTTCCGCGCCACTGCGTGCGCCATGCGCCCAGCACCTTGTTCGCGCGTGATTTTCTCGGATCCCACGGGAGTTGGTAGATGCACAGGGCCGGGAGGTTTCGAGGCACGAGTGCGTGTTTTTTTTTCCGTGGGCCCCACGCTTCGACTCGACGTCGCGCGCTTTTCCTTTCGTCGAGAGCTCTCTCACAGCGCACGTTCCGAGATCAAGTGGGCTGCAACGCGATGCTCAGCTCTGGCTGGCCCAGAAGTCTCCAGGCGCGTGGTAGACGCGTCCTTGGCGCGCGGGCTGCGGCGGCCGAGACTCCGCGTGCCTCGCGGCAGTGGGCCACGGGTGCGCATCCTACACCAGCAAAGCATTGCACGCACGTTCGGGCCAGCGGCTGATGGCGGGCGGCGGTTGTGGCCAGTTCGAGCTCGCCTTGAAGACGAGTTTTGCCGAGCGCCGCGCCTGTGTCTTTCCACATTCTCGGCGCGTCGCGCGTGCCCGCCAGCGCACCCAAGGACAATCATTGGGCGAGTTGCCCTGATCAAGGGATGCGTGGCCCCCTTGTGGCCATGTTGGAGGACTTCGGGGTTCTCTCGGGGGTCTTGATTGATGGGCTAGTTTTCAACCACCACTACCGTAGGTCGGACGGGGGAGAAGGGACGCCATGCCGACGGCTTGGCACCAGCAGCAGGTCAGACAGGGACCACACGCAAGGCCGAATATGTTTCTCCTCATCCTTCTTCTTCTCCTTCTTCTTAGCATTAGTCTTTTCCTTCTTCTTATGATTATGATCATTGTTAATTACCCCAGTGCGACCCTACCTAGAAGTTGGAGTCCCTACGAAAGCAGCATTAGTTGCTATGTTATGTTATGACATGCCATGCTATGCTATGCTATGCTATGCTATGCTGCGCTAGGCTATGCTATGATATGCTAAGCTATGATGTGTCATGCTGCGCTGTGCTATGCTAAGCTATGTTTTGCTAAGCTGCGCTATGCTATGGTAGGCTATGCTATGCTAATGCTATGCTATGCTATGCTATGCTATGATTGGCTGTGGTATGATATGACATGCTATGCTAATGCAGCGCTGCGCTAAGCTAAGCTAGGCTGAGCTAACCCTCTAGGCTTGCTAGCGAAGCTAAGATGAAGGTAAGCTAAGCTAAGATGAACCTGAGCTAAGATGAAGCTAAGCTAAGCTAATATGAAATAAGCTAAGCTAAGATGAGATAAGCAACGCTAAGCTAAGGGGACGTAACTAGGGGAACCGCAGGGCGGATACTGGGAGAACCGCCCGGGGCGCTTTCCACTGCCGGGCCCCTTTAAGCCCAGAGAGGAAGAACCCTTCTAGGCAGAGCCTAGGTAGGGAAATATCAGTACTCTTATTATCCGTAAGGGCTTCGCCCCCTGCCGCCGGCCCCCTCTCTCGGAGAATGGGCCATGGACGAGCGAAGTCATGAGGCTTTGGCTTAACCGTGAAGCAGCGTCGGAACTTCATGCGAAGACGATGGGTAATTGGCAAGACGAATGGAGATTGCGAGTCTATTGTTGTACTCGCTGTTGTATTTTCCATTTGCTCCCGTATGCTGTGCCAAAATCTTCTCCCCGAATTTGAACATGTTGGAAGTCTCTGTGTCCTGATCGCCGATCTGCGTGAGGGGTGCCATCGAATTTCAGAAATGAGGCAAATCCCATGTGTTTTTGGACCCTGACCCCGCCGATATGCGTGAGGGGTGCCACCGAATTTCAGAAATGTGGCAAACCTTGATTTTTTTTGACCCTGACCCCGCCGATCTGCGTGAGGGGTGCCACCAGATTTCAGAAATGTGGCAAATCCTTTTTGTTTTTGCACCCTGACCCCGCTGATCTGCGTGAGGGGTGCCACCGAATGTTAGAAATGTGGCAAATCCAATATGTTTTTTGACGCTGACCCCGCCGATCTGCGTGAGGGGTGCCACCGAATTTCAGAAATGTGGCGAATCCCATGTGTTTTTGGACCCTGACCCCGCCGATCTGCGTGAGGGGTGCCACCGGATTTTAGAAATGTGCCAAATTCCTGTGTTTTTGGACCCTGACCCACCCCAGCAATTCAGAGCACACGCTCAGGGCGTGCTAAAGCTGCCCGTTTGGGCCTCCCCCCCCCTTCGCGCGGTCCATCAACAAGGAACCGCAAGCAGCAAGAAGCAGAACTGTAATAGTGGAACTTGGAAGCTGCAACTTGTACAGGAAACTGCGAACCTTAGGCTTACAGCCTGGTGGCCCCACAAGGGGGCCGGCGGATTATCCACATGTTTCTCCTCCTCATCATCCCTCTCCTCCTTATGGCAGTGGTGGTGGAACATCGGCCCATCATTGACGTGGCCATGTTGGGGACCATCGGTAAACTGGGGGAGCGCTCTCGGGGTGTGCCTTGAGCGCTCTCGAGGCAGCACTGGGCCCGTCTCGGGGCTCCCTCTTGGACCGCGTTCGCGCCGCCCCGCGGCTTCGGGGGCCCGTCGGGAGCGACGAGGCGAGAGTGCAGACACGTATTCATGTTTTTTTATTGTTTTTTGCAGCACGTTGGCTTCTCGGGAGGGCCTCCCGGGGCTCAGAAAGTCTACCCCTTTAACCACTCGCCCTCCTACCAAGATGTTTTCGAGTCTGTCGACCACCTCGACGACCCTTGCTCCGCTTCTGCTGCGCGCCGACGCCACTCGGGAGTAGCGTCGGTGCTCCCAAGCGTGCCTCTCCCTTTCCCAGCGAGGCGTCTTCGCCAGTGTCCCCCCTTGTCGCCGCATCGCCTACCGTCACCCACCCCCCGCTGCCTTGGCTGCACTGTCTGTTCCTAGCCATCCTGTGGTGTTGGGTCGTCGTTTTGAAGAGAGCGCCTCGCGTCCCACCTCCTCTCCTCTCCTCTCCTCGTCCTCCTCCCCTCCTCCCTCTTCCCATCACGCCCCTCACTTTAGCACACCCCTCGCACGCTCCGTGGCCCCACAGGGCGCTCCACCGAGGGTTCCAAATACTGGCGCTCGCATGCGCCCGCCCACCGCACCCGTTTAGGCACGCCGCTCACACCCTTCGTGGCCCCAGAGGGAGCTCCAGCCAAGTCTCAAGTGCAAGCGCTCGCATGCGCCCACCGCGCCCATTTTGGCGCACCCCTCGCACGTGTCGTTGCTTTATCGGGAGCCCCACCGAAGGCCCAAGTGTCAGCGCTCGCTGGTGCCCACCGCACCCATTGATGGCACACACACACACACACACCTCACACGCTTCGTGGCCCCACAGCGGGCTCCACCGAAGGCCCAAATGCAAGCGCTCGCATGCGCCCGACGCGCTCATTTTGGCACACCCATCACACGTTTCGTGGCCCCGTAGGGGGCCCCATGGAAGGCCCAAGTGCTAGCGCTCGCATGCGCCCACCGCGCCCATTTTGGCACACCCTTCTCACGCGTCGTGGCCCGATAGGGAGCTCCACCGAAGGCCCCAATGCCAGCGCTCGCATGCGCCCACCGCGCCCATTCTGGCACACGACTCACATATTTCGTTGCCTTACCGGGAGCCCCACCGAAGGCTCATGTGCCAGCCCCCCCGCCCACCTTGACCCCCGTGCGGTGGCGGCGTGCGGGCTCGGCGCTGCATCTCATGCATATGATGGATGCTTGAAGTAATGGTTAATCTCTGTGCCCAGTACGTATGTCTATGCGAGTGTACTGCATACGTCTTACATGTTAGAGAATGGTACGTCTGATGTTGCGTTTGCGTTTAGGTGTGCATGTGTCATGTAGGTTCGACCGCACGTTGTGCATGCACGGTATGGTGTGATACGGCCGCATGTCATGTACGGACGTGTGCAAGTGGATGCCAGTAGACACACTCTTTATGCATGGTGGATCGTTGCCTCTCATGTTTGGTCTGAGTTTGTGAACGGTTGTTGCACATGCTTGAGACGTTCGTGTGATTCCCATGTTTTGTTTCCTGTGTTGGTGTATTGATGATCTGTGTGCCTCGTCTGGTGTCTGATCCATGCCATGTACATAGATGCGTCACGCCTGGTTTTAAGACACGTGCTGGACGTATGAATCTCTACGAGTGGTAATTGTAGACAGGCTCGCTATATTTTGTACTTGGGTGTGCTGGTCGCACCCTTGCTGGTACGATTTGTGTATGGCACTCGTGATTGTTAATGATGCATGTCTGTTGTATGCTATGCGTGATCATCGTTGATAAGGTTCATTTGGGCCTGTCATGGGTGCTGCTGCCACCTGTCGAGGGCTGGAGGTGAGATCATAGAGAGAGTCGGGGCTATTGCGGCCTGGCGCCGGCTATCTGCAAGCAGTTCTCTTCGAAGTCTAACCACCTCAGCTTGTCGGGGGGGTTCAACAACTTGAGCGTCTTTCTGCGAAACGGAGGAGGACGTGGGGGAGGGGACGGCCGCCGCGCAGAGGAGGCGTCTTCCTGGCAGTCCACCGCGGCGCCAGGAACCAGCAGGGCCTTGACCGGGACCCAGGCGAGCTCTCCGATTTGAGGCGGTCAGTGTGAAGAGGTCTTTGCGCTGTTGTTCGGCAGGAGGGGGAGGAGGGAGGGCTGGAAAGGGGAGAGGAGGAGAAGGGAAAAACGGAGGAGGTTGCGGAGGAACGAATGGGAGAAGGGGGGAGGTAGGGTGGGAGGAGGGAAACAAGCAGGATGGATGGGGCGGGGAAGGAGGAGCAGGAGGAGGAGAAGGAGCGGGAGGAAGAGGAGGAGTAAAGGAAGGAGGAGATGGAGGAGAAGGAGGGAGAAGGAGAGAGAGGGAAAGAGGGGGAGGGATGGAAAAGGAGAAGGGCGCAGGTTTGTGAGGAGTGACGCGCGACCTCCGAACATGTATGCGTATGCTGGTTGTTTTGTTGCTTGTGTCTATTCGTGATCCGAGCGCCCGATGTAGACCGGAACCCCCTGCTGCCTTAACGCGGCCTGCAAATGGGAAGGTGCCGCCACCCGCACCGCCGATTTTGCCTTTCTGCCCGTTGTGAGGCGCCGCTAGTCCAACGACCTACCGGGGTCGTTTTATCGGCACCCCAGAGCCCTTCGAAGGCCGAGTCTGGGCGATGATGAAGTTGGTTTCTACATGAGCATGATTAGAGTGGTGATGTGGATGAGAAGGAGGAGCGGGCTGACGGCACATCCGTCGACCCTTTTGAGCATCTGTAATTGTCGTTGTTCTTTGCAGGTGGTGATCGAGAAGCAGGCAGGACACGAGAGGATCAGGAGAAAGATGCAGGGGAGGACGGCGAGGAGAAGAAATGTGCTGATGAGGAGGAAGAAGCTCCTGCAAGAGGCCACCTGAGTGGTCCTAGAGAGTGTGGCGAGATGTGTGTGATTGTGTCGTGTGGATCATTCGTCTGCCCTCTCCGCCCCCCTCCCTCCACTGGGGCCAGCGCATTCCCGACATGCGAAAATTAGTGTTAAGTCGAGCCTGTCCCTCTACAGGAGGAATATTCGAAAATAGTCAAAAATATGGGGACGAATGTTTGAGCACTTTGTGACCAGGTTGGGGCATTTTTCTGGTATGTTTGATGTTTCGCCCAAGCTCCGCCTGTCGGGGTACGGGCCCGACCTAGAATTAGGTGCAAGAGGAGGGGCCAGAGGGAGATCCAGCTTGCGCCACGGCGTGCGCGAGACGTGCACATTCGCGTGCGCAGGCGTCGATGACTGCATCGAACACGCGGCGGGCTTTCTTCACGCGTCGAGCGTGCGGGCCCCGAGGTCGAGGGTACGAAGCGAGCGTCTGGCCATCGTGCATGTGGCACCAGTTTTCGTGCGCGCAGCCCCGCGGCGGCAACCGCCTGGCGGGGAGCGGGCGCTTGAGCCGGCGCGCGATGTCGCCACCTCAGAAGAAGACGCGGCCTGGGGATGAGGGAGGAGGGAGGGAGGGGGAAGAGAGGAGGAGCGGGAGGTAGCAGGCAGCAGGAGAGGAGGAGTAGGGGGGGGGGAGCAGGAGGAGGAGGAGGAGGAAGAGCGGGGGAGGAGGAGGGAGAGCGGGGAGGTGGAAGAGGAGGATGAGTGGGGGATGGGTACAGGAGGAGCGTGAGGAAGAAGAAGGGGGAGGATGAAGGAGCAAGATGAGGGATGGGGAGCAGGAGCAGGAATCGAGAGGATGGAGAGGTACACAGTGTCAAGCATACCATAGAACGCCACAAGGCCACACAGCATGGCACAACGTATGGTATCTTATCATCACAACGCACAGTCAGGCGTCACACATCAAAGGTAATATGTAATGGTGCGACACAGCACGCTTATGGAGGACATTTCAAAATGATAGTCGGCTTGAGTTCCGCGCGGGGCCCGTGGGTTCCGAAAGTTTGATAGTCCCCAGATTCGAAGCGAGCTCGTGAAGGTCCCAACCATAGAAAAACGGCAGTCCGTCTCAATTTCTTCGCGACGCCAGATGTCTTTGTCCCTGAGGTCCTCGGAGGTCCCGAGAGGTCCCCAGGGAGCCCCCTGGAGGTTTCCGGATGCCCCCCTAGGCGAAAAGAGGCTCGCACAGCGCCGAACACCACCGAACACATTCGAAGACTTCTGGCCCCTCCTTCCTCGCCCTTCGGCGTGCTGCGCCCCGCGGCGCCCTCCCCCCCAAGGGCTTCCATGGCGTGCAGAAGGGCGTCTCGAGCCCCGCAGGCGCGGGAGGGACCCCGGCCACCTGCCCACCGATCTCCCCCCTTCCTGAGAGAGTAGGATGAGCAGGAGGGAGGAGGAGGAGGAGGAGGAGGAGGAGGAGGAGGAGGAGGAGGAGGAGGCGGATGAGGCAGACCCTGACGCGTCGTGAAAAAACACAGCATAGGGTCTTCGGTAGTTTTCAGGGCCCTCTTGGCCGAGGCCCACAGGGCCCGTCGTAAAGCATAATGTGGAACGGGAGTGTTGGTGGTGGTTGGGGTCGAGATTTCCAGGGGGGTCAAGTTGTAACCATCCGCGGCGTCAGGTGTTTGGGAGGGACGATGTTGATGATGATGATAACGATGACGATGATGATGAGGAGGAGGAGGAGGTGGAGGAGGACGATGGTGAAGATGATGGTGATGATGATCCGATAATGCTGATGATGATGATGACGATGATGATGCTGATGCTGGTGCTGATGCTGGTGATAGTGGCCTTGATGGTGCTGGTGATGATGGTGATGATGGAGATAGTGATGGTGGTGATGCTGATGGTGATGATGCTGATGATGGTGATGATGCTGGTGATGCTGATGATGCTGGTGATGGTTTTGATGTTTGTGGTGTTGTTGATGATGATGACGATGATGATGCTGCTGTTGATGATGATGATGCTCATCATGATGATGATGCTGATGGAGGTGGTGGCGGTGGTGGTCGTGGTGATGATACTGATGATGGTGGTGGTGCAGATAGTGCTGGTTATGCTGGTGTTGGTGGTCGTGATGCTGATGATGATGATGATGACGATGATTATGATGATGATCATGATCATGCCCATGATCATGATCATTATGGCTATGATGGTGGTGCTGGTGTTGGTGGTCGTGATGATGACGATGATGACGATGAGGAGGTGGAGGTGGAGGAGGACGATGGTGATGATGATGCTGATAATGCTGATGCTGATGCTGGTGCTGGTGATAGTGGCCGTGATGGTGCTGGTGCTGGTGATGATGGTGATGATGGAGATAGTGATGGTGGTGATGCTGACGGTGATGCTGATGATGGTGATGATGGTGATGATGCTGATGATGTTGATGAGCTGGTGATGATGCTGATTTGTGTGGTGTTGTTGATGATGACGATGATGATGCTGCTGTTGATGATGATGATCATGATGATGATGATGCTGATGGAGGTTGTTGCGGTGGTGGTCGTGGTGATGATACTGATGATGGTGGTGGTGCAGATAGTGATGGTTATGCTGGTGTTGGTGGTCGTGGTGATGATGCTGATGATGATGACGACGATGATTATGCTCATGATGATGATCATGACCACGACCACGACCATGATCATTATTGCTATGATGATGGTGCTTGTGATGAGGATGAGGATGAGGAGCAGGGTGATCATGATGATGATGGTGATGATGATGCTGATGATGATGGTGGTGATGATGATCGTGGTGGTGGTTATGATGATGCTGATGCTGATGATGCTGATGAGATGATGATGATGATGATGATGATGATGATGATGATGATGATGATGATGATGATGATGATGATGATGATGATGATGATGATGATGATGATGATGATGACTGGGATGGGGATGGGGATGGGGATGGTGATGGTGATGGCGATGACGACGAGGAGGAGGAGCAGCAGGAGGAGGAATAGGTCGAAGAGATGGATGAAAACGATGATGATGGTATATACTGAAGGGGCGAGGAGAGGAAGGAGGACGCGGAGGTCCAAGGGGGGAGGTTGAAGTAGGAACAGATGCACAGTTGAGGTTAGAAGAATTGTCGAGCAGGCCCTCAGGCTGGTGCCTAGCACACCACCGCTAGGCCTCAGAGACAGAAAGGACATCTAGCTGTTCCACTCTCGCCCATCTACCCGGGGTTGAGGTGGGAGGGGAGGGAGGGAGGAAGAGCGCATGCTGTTCAGGGGCGTCTTCTCTTGCTTGCTGGGTCCAGGAAGACCTCCCGTTAGATCGTCGCGGGAGCCAGATCCGCAACGTCTTGGGAGAGGAATGACGCTTCGGACGCCCGCCCCTTGGGAAAGAGAGAGGGAGTAGGAGCAGCCGGTGGAAACGCGCCGCTCCAGGGTCGCCCGTGGAGCCCCCCCGAGGAGGCAGGCAACCGCACGCCTGCTTGTCGTGCTGCCGCGTTTCTGCCATGGCGCTCTGTCTTGCCATGCTCGCGGCGCTCCAGGGGCCTTCGTGGGCCCCGCGAGCTGCTCGGGTGTTGCCAGAAGTACCCCTGGCCCAAGGTGCCCCCAGGATTTTCGGGGTAGCCCAGACGGCCTCCTCCAGGGCACCCCTCACGAGGCCCAGAGGGCCCCAGGGGCTCGAAAATGGAGCGAAAAGCTGGGGACACCTTGGGCCAGGGGCACCTTGAGCAACCCCCGAGTTGTGAGGAAGCAGTCCTCGTGCCGGGGGTCGAGAGTCCTGCGGGGCCGCGTGTGGAACAAATGAAGACGTCGGAGCTCTGGCCCCCATCCTTCGGCAGACGCTTTCGTCGCTCCGCTTGCTGCCCTCTTCGTGGTTCTAAGGCTGGTCGGGGCCCCTTGCGGCAACCAGTGCTCCAGTGGGGCTTCGAAGCGGTGGCTCTGACGCTGCCCGGTTGGGCTTCCGCAGGCCACGTCGTGGCGCAAGAGCGACTCTGGCTTCGCCATCTTCGGCCTCCAGGGCCAGTTCCTGGGCCCCGGGGCCGTCGCAAAACGATATCGGGCAAATTCCCACTCTCCTGTTGCCCTCAGTTGTTCTGCCGCTCGATGCTCGTAGTGTGTTCCGCGTCTCATGTCAGGTTGTTTCTCCCACAGTGCCTGATGCGTCTGCAGTTGCCATGATGCGTGCGCCACTGGGGATATATAAGTGGGCGTCGTGTTTCGCAAAGAGCGGCCCGGTGCGACATGTTACCCTGGAGATCGGTTCGAGCGCTCCAGGGGGCCAGCGGCTCTCGGGCTCCGGACGGACTCGGGAAAGATGGGTTGACGAGGGGCTGTGGAGAGGAAGACTCCAGAGTTCTGACGGCGCGTGCCCTGTGTTGTGACGTGGGCCCCCAGAGCTCCCGCCCCCCTATTCCGCGACGTTTTGCGAACCCTAGCCCTACGGGTCCAATCGATATTTGGGTATCGGACACCCCCGCTGGGGTTCTCTTGGCTGCAGGCATCCTTCATGGTTTGAGCCCCAGCCAGTTTCTCGGACATCTGACCTGCACGGGTAGCGTTGACGCCGTCGGGCGTCTCCCCAACCCCTCCCGTCGCGGTCCTCGGCCTGAGCAGAGCAGCAGTGCTGCTGCTCGTTCCTTTCTACACTGTCCCTCCTCCCTTCCTCGCGCCTCCTGACTCCCATCTGCCTGTCGGGGAGTCTGGGGGTAGGGGAGTCGGCCAGTCGGGAAGTCGGCCAGTCGGGTGCTCGGGGAGTCGCGGATTCGGGGGTTCGGGGAGGCGAAAAGTCGAAGAGTCGGAGAGTCGGGGAGTTGTTTCCGGTGCCCCAGGCATTTTCCGAATGCCCTGGAAGTGGGGACCTTTTTTCGCCGAGACCCGCTCACCATCCTGGGTAGTCCTTGGACGAACCTGCGGCCCGCTGGTGTTGCCCCAAGATGTCGGACAGTGTCGCTCGTCCTCTTGTTTTTCGGCGCGGGGGGGGTGGAAGTTTGGGGGTCAAGCGTGGCCCTGTCCCTGGGCGCGCTCGTGGCGGAACACTGAGGGGATCCAGCCGTGGCCGCGGATAGCCTCCCGCAGGGCTGACAATCCGAGCATGCCAGGCCTCCTGCGGACCGTCGCAAAGGGTGCGATCTGGCCAGGACTTCGAACTGGGTGGGAACCAGCCGTGGCCGCGAGGAGCCTCCCATTGCCCCAGAACAGCGACAACAACGCCCGGAGACGGGCGGGTCCAGGGGCCAGGCCGCAGAGTGCTTGGTGTGTGGCGCTCGGATGGGCCGCACTGGTCGTCTCAGCTGGCTATCTTTAGCACGTCCACCTCCTCCTCCTCCTCCTCCTCTTCCTCCTCCTCCTCCTCCTCCAGGTGGCCCCCTTCCAGATGCGAACACCCTCGCCACCTCTACACACCCCCGCGCGCGCACACGTAACGCGGGCCATGTGCACTCTCATTCAGAGCCCGTGACGGCAGTTATTGCCCGCGGGGCCAGCGCTGGTTTCTTCAAGCGGGCTTCTGCGCGCTGTTCAGTACAATCCATGCCCCGCACGGTCACACGAACGATTGGTCGATATTGCTTGTTGCATACCGAACAGGGACGTGTACGCGCTCACAGGCACGCAGGTCAAGTCACATGGGCAGTGGGGCAGGTCGTGAACGACACCGGAGCAGTTCAGAAGACATGGGACATTGAATTTGGATTCAAATGGGGGCCTCTTATGACTCCGTTTTGCGGTATCACGTTCCTGCTTAAACGATCTCGTTTTCCTCGCAGCTCGCTCACGAGGGCGCATGACACGCCTCAGCAACTTTGGAGCAGATGTGGAGCTATCACACTTCAGTCAGGCGATCTTTCTCATGGTTTGATTAGAATGTATTTCCCGCCGAGGCAGACTCGCAGGGCACTCCGCCCCATTGACGAGAAGACGATGAAGCTGATGATCGATTTGGTCACAGGCGTGCTGCAGGACATGTCGACACGCAAGACTGTGCCCATCATTTTCACAGATTTGAATGGAGGGTTCTGTAAAGCAGAGGACCTCGTTGCTGGGCCTTTTGCAAGTGGAAGACAACGACGGCATCTACATTATTCCGTCCAGTTCTTGCAGGGTGGATGGAACCTAAGCGCAGCCAACACCTACTTTTGCAACCCGCCGTCGTACGTGGGGGCGAATTCTGAATCCTATATCGACCATATATGCACACCACAAGAGTTGATGCAGAGCGTGGAAAATGTCAAGTGATGTGCTCAGATGGACGAGCGCTACATTTACAATACTCTCAAGCCTCAAGGCCATCGCCCTATTCAGATTGACGTCCAGGTATTGTTCATCAAACGACCTCTTCCTG